TTTTAGTATCATTATATATCAAAGTAAGCCTCTACAAGCTTCACTTCCTATGTTTGCATCAAAGTATTCAATATACAGCAGTGACCTTTTTTGTGTTTTCAATTATTTTTTTATTGTACAGTGTAGCTATCTAGCTATCCGCCTTCACACACACACATAGATGTGTGTGTGAAGACGGATAGCTAGATAGATGTGTGTGTGTGTGTGTGCCCATCTGTCTGTCTTTATTTCTATTTATTTAAATATATGTACTTTCTCTCTCTCTATCTCTCCCTTTACCTATCTCTCTATCTCTCCATTTACCTATCTCTCTCTCTCTCTCTCTCTCTCTATCTATCTATCTATCTATCTATCTATCTATCTATTTATCTATCTATCCATTTATCTGGCTACCTATATCTGTGTGCGTGCGTGCGAGCGTGCGTGTGAGCATGTGTGCGTGCGTGCGTGCGAGCGTGCGTGCGAGCATGGCTACCTATTTATCTATATAGGTGTGCGTGCGTGCGAGCGTGCGTGCGAGCATGTGTGCGTGCGAGCGTGCGTGCGAGCATGCGTGCGTGCGTGCGTGCGAGCGTGCGTGCGAGTATGCGTGCGTGCGTGCGAGCGTGCGTGCGAGCATGCGTGCGTGCGTGCGTGCGAGCATGCGAACGTGTGTGCTGCGTGCATGCGTGTGAACGAGAGTGCGTGCGTGAGAGAATGAGAGACAGACACAGAGAGACAAACAGACAAACAATAAAACACTCCAGGCTGACTCAGCGAGAGTTCAACAATCGTATGAACATGTGCGCGCACATACTGATATCAGGGCACATGCGTGTCTGTGCACATAATACACACAACTACAGCAAATTTAGCAAATTTAAACTCCTCATTAACTTCCTCCTCATCACCCCTTTTTACAAGCATTACCAGACGTAAAATAAAGAGAGAAAAGACCTTAAAATAATAAACCTCAAAAAGAAAATGCCCCGCGGTCTCTGCTCCAAAACAAACCTCAGGGTCTCGGGGGCGGAGAGGACCACGGCGCTCGGCAGCTGCAGCTATTTCGCTCTCTCTTTCTGCTATGGCGTGGTGATTGAGCCTTTCTGTGAGGCAGGGCGTTGGATGAGGGTGAGAGAGAATCTGTAGAGGTGAGTGTAGGGGAGTTGAGGTTGGGGGGGTTAGTGTTATGAGGGAGTTCCGAGGAGCAGAGGGTTTTGACCGAGGTGGAGGGTCCGTGTTTGTCTGTGGCTGTCACTTTGACCAACTGGCGTTATTTGAGGGCATTTTGAGGGCTTTTCTCCCTTCGAGAGGTGGCGGTGGAGAGGTAAAAGAGTGCTGTGGAATTCTCGCGAAAATGGTGTTGCTATAAATGAGCTATTATGTGATTTTGCAAATTGAAAGACAGTTTTATGCAATTACATATTTACGTGCAAATTTTGAATTTCGGCGAATCTTGCTAATTGGTTCACGCGGTAATATGCACCGATAAAGTTACCTGTAGGTAGTTTAACACCCGTATTATGCATCTTGGCAATTTTGCTGATAACTGACCTACTATTGTAATGATACTGACCTAGAATTTCTGAAATAGGCAGGTAAGTAAATGAGGTATTATTGGAAATGACAGCTAACTCTAAAATTGAAGAATCTGACCTTGCCATCCTGTAGAATGCAATGTTCTAAGACACTTTTCTTGTATAATACTCCCTTTGCATTCTAATGATAATGGTAGTTGGGAGCTCAAAATTTCTATGCTCCATGGTATGTACTTTTCCCGCGCTGAGAGAAAATAACACGAAATTGAGAAATCAGCGGTAAAATCAGGCTGAACTGTAGCTGATGACATATGTAATGGAAATCAAATGACCCAAGGGATTTTGTACTTGGCTATGACACGACAAGAGATATTAGCAACCCGACTATTAGAGCTAATGAGAACTGTAATAGATAATCATGTAACAATAGATGCTGGATCCATGAGAGGTCAGTTGAAATTCATATCAGTTACATCATGGCTACTGCTCTGTATAATGTGCTGGAAAAACTGTGTCCTCTTTAACCCAATGGTGATGGGTGAAGAAAACAAAAAAAAAAAAACTCTACGCTCTGGCAAACAATGGTGGCGCGCCGACTTTGAGCGTGTAAGTTCGGTGCATCAGCCCGAATCACTGGCTCGCCTCGCTTTGGCGCACCGCCGCGGCATACAGCTGCACACCAGCTTTCGAGTGGTTTGTTTTCACGCCTATCAGCGTCACCCATCAGGAAGGGGTTAATGTGCAAACTATGATGGCAATAACGAAAAAGAGTGGCAGATAGTATTAGCATTTCCTGCCAACAACAACAATGAGGATCATGACACACAGGCTGGCTATTCAGGATCTGTTGGTCTAAGTAAGAAATTATAAGAATGAGGTCCAGATAATTGACTGGGCTCTATCGTGCCAGAATATATGGGATAAAGGTTTTGCAGGCCAGGAGACAAAGTGCGCTAATTACTATAAATGTGGATTGCAACAGATAAATTACTGAAAGGTTTACTCTCATCATTTGCTTTTACCTCGCAATTTTCCTGATACTTATCATGCCCTTCGCAGCTATCAGGGTCAATATCGTAGTTGAACTTCATTTGTGATGGGTATGAGCAGTAGATTCATTAAAACACGAGAGTTATCAGAATAACAGTCTTGGCCTGGAAATCAGTGTTAAACATCTTTTCAAAACTTACTGTAAGCAAAAGACTTAAAGTGGGGGGAAATACAATTAAAGATACAGTTGCATAGGGTTTGACGATTACCCAGCCTCTCATGCTTTGTACTCTGGCAAAGCCCAAGCAAACTTTCAATGTATATGTTCTGGCAATAAGATCTGGACCCTTGTTAGTACTAAAGGACCAAGGAGGTCTATATCTGCCTTGGGAACATCATTATCAATCTGAAATTGTTTATACTAGTTTTGGGAATTTGCTTAGAAGAAAGTATTTTTTACATATTGAACATACCTCTTTTATTAAGTTTACATGATTTCATATGAGAACCTTTAATTCCATAATTTATGTTGCCACATTGATAATCTATATAGGTGATTAATTAGATTTGGTAGTGTATGAATCTATCCCCTTCATGGAACAAATGGGCCTCCAGAGATGCTTTGTAGCCACTGCAGTTCTTTTCTGTCAGAGAAGCTATAGGTATTACTGATAATAAAAGAGATCACCTCAGTAATAAATCACAGGCTATTATGTTTGTGATTAACATGTACAAAGAGCATAGCAACAAGCTCTGTTCAAGTTCCTATATAAAGGGTGTGCCTCTGTGCTGCTTGTGTTGACATATTTGATCTATACAAAGCAGCAACTTTGACCTTTTCTGAGTGTGGAGGAGGGGGAAGAATAGAGATACAGTGCCACTACAAAGGAAGAGGAACCACTGAAGACATCAGATACACAATTGCCTGTCGCTTTATTCCGCAAGAATAAAGGTTTTGCAGACCAGGAGACAAAGTGCGCTAATTACTATAAATGTGGATTGCAACAGATAAATTACTGAAAGGTTTACTCTCATCATTTGCTTTTACCTCGCAATTTTCCTGATACTTATCATGCCCTTCGCAGCTATCAGGGTCGATATCGTAGCTGAACTTCATTTGTGATGGGTATGAGTAGTAGATTCATTAAAACACGAGAGTTATCAGAATAACAGTCTTGGCCTGGAAATCACTGTTAAACATCTTTTCAAAACTTACTGTAAGCAAAAGACTTAAAGTGGGGGGAAATACAATTAAAGATATAATTGCATATGGTTTGATGATTACCCAGCCTCTCATGCTTTGTACTCTGGCAAAGCCCAAGCAAACTTTCAATGTATATGTTCTGGCAATAAGATCTGGACCCTTGTTAGTACTAAAGGACCAAGGAGGTCTATATCTGCCTTGGGAACATCATTATCAATCTGAAATTGTTTATACTAGTTTTGGGAATTTGCTTAGAAGAAAGTATTTTTTACATATTGAACATACATCTTTTATTAAGTTTACATGATTTCATATGAGAACCTTTAATTCCATAATTTATGTTGCCACATTGATAATCTATATAGGTGATTAATTAGATTTGGTAGTGTTATGAATCTATCCCCTTCATGGAACAAATGGGCCTCCAGAGATGCTTTGTAGCACTGCAGTTCTTTTCTGTCAGAGAAGCTATAGGTAATTACTGATAATTAAAAGAGATCACCTCAGTAATAAATCACAGGATATTATGTTTGTGATTAACATGTACAAAGAGCATAGCAACAAGCTCTGTTCAAGTTCCTATATAAAGGGTGTGCCTGCTGTGCTGCTTGTGTTGACATATTTGATCTATACAAAGCAGCAACTTTGACCTTTCTGAGTGTGGAGGAGGGGGAAGAATAGAGATACAGTGCCACTACAAAGGAAGGAGGAACCACTGAAGACATCAGATACACAATTGCCTGTCGCTTTATTCCGCAAGAATAAAGGTTTTTGAAATGTGCCTGTTAATTTTGAGTGGGTGCAGTTTGTTAGATAAGTGTGAGACATTTCAGAAATGCAGAAATACTTCAGAATACAGAATACTTTCTTCTTCCCTCTTTATCTGGTGTTTAAGGCACATCAAGTGATGAGAATGTAATTTTTCTGTTACATACACACACTCACTCACTCTCTCACTCACTCACTCACTCACTCACTCACTCACTCACTCACTCACTCACTCACTCACTCACTCACTCACTCACTCACTCACTCACTCTCTCTCTCTCTCTCTCTCTCTCTCTCTCTCTCTCTCTCTCATGTTTTGGATTGATGATATTTATAAGTGTGTGTTTGTTATGGTATTTCAAGGGCATTGTTTTTATTTAGACATTATCTATGATAAGAAAACACACGTAGGAAAAGTAAGGCAGTGAATTGATTAGATAGATGCTTTTTTAAAGGTAGCAATATACTACTTGACCAGAGAAACTCCATCATAGGAAGTCTTCAGCCGTAAGTGAGGCCGAATTGAAAAAGTGACCACAGTGAACAATTGAGGCTGAAATGGGCAAAGAATAATTGTGTTGACATTTCCCATTATTTGAAAAGTGGGAAGTTTTAGCTAGTCCAGTGGTTGTTCTGATTCCAGACCAGGTAAAAGTTCAAGGAATTGATACTCATATTAAGCTACTTAACTCAGTGCCACTAGGTAAATGCTGTTCACATTTTTTTCTTTTTTTTTCTGAAATGTCTCTGCACATAGATGGCTCTGCTAGTCCTTAGCCACAAAAGAGTCAGTTAGGTGACCTTGTGACCTTACCTGATTTTACCTTTCCTTGAATTTGCTATATATATATATATATATATATATATATATATATATATATATATATATATATATATATATATATATATATATATATATATATACATATATATAATATTTTTTTTTTTCTTTTCTTTTTTCTTTCTTTTTTCTTCTTTTTACTAATGCTATCAATATTGATGGTGTTATTTTTATTATAGACATTATAATTACCATAATGTTATGAACATTAGTAGGGCAAGTAGTACTGATAATTGGCTCATTGGTGACTTAGTACAAGTGGAGTCATCTTTGTGTAAAAATAATTACTAAAGTAGACTCAAAGTGGGGGCCAAGAATGAAAAAGATTGGGAGAGGCCTGCATCTTGCAATGAATTGATGATGATGATACATATGTACATATGTACATATATACATATATACATATATACATATATACATATATACATATATACATATATACATATATACATATATACATATATACATATATACATATATACATATATACATATATACATATATACATATATACATATATACATATATACATATATACATATGTACATATATACATGCATACATACATATATACATATATACATATATGCATATATATGCATATATATGCATATATATGCATATATATGCATATATATGCATATATATGCATATATATGCATATATATGCATATATATGCATATATATGCATATATATGCATATATATGCATATATGCATATATATGCATATATATGCATATATATGCATATATATGCATATATATGCATATATATGCATATATATGCATATATATGCATATATATGCATATATATGCATATATATGCATATATGCATATATGCATATATGCATATATATGCATATATATGCATATATGCATATATATGCATATATGCATATATATGCATATATGCATATATATGCATATATATGCATATATGCATATATGCATATATGCATATATATGCATATATATGCATATATATGCATATATATGCATATATATGCATATATATGCATATATATGCATATATATGCATATATGCATATATATGCATATATATGCATATATATGCATATATGCATATATGCATATATATGCATATATATGCATATATATGCATATATGCATATATATGCATATATATGCATATATGCATATATGCATATATATGCATATATGCATATATATGCATATATATGCATATATATGCATATATGCATATATGCATATATATGCATATATGCATATATGCATATATATGCATATATATGCATATATATGCATATATATGCATATATATGCATATATGCATATATATGCATATATGCATATATATGCATATATGCATATATGCATATATGCATATATGCATATATATGCATATATGCATATATGCATATATGCATATATGCATATATGCATATATGCATATATATGCATATATGCATATATATGCATATATGCATATATGCATATATGCATATATGCATATATGCATATATATGCATATATATGCATATATGCATATATGCATATATGCATATATATGCATATATATGCATATATATGCATATATGCATATATGCCATATATGCATATATGCATATATGCACATATGCACATATGCACATATACACATATACACATATACACATATACACATATACACATATACACATATACACATATACACATATACACATATACACATATACACATACACATATACATATATACATATATATATATATATATATATATATATATATATATATATATATATATATATATATATATATATATATATGATAAACACACATATATAACATATATAATATATACATGATATATATACATAATATATATCTATATATTATATATATATATATATATATATATATATAGATATATATATATATATAGATACACTATATATCTAATATATATATACAACTAATATATATATATATATATATATATATATATATATATATATATATATATATATATTATATATATATACATATATATATACATATATATACATACATATATTTCTTTCTTTCTTTCTTTTTTTCTTATACCTTTTCCTTTTTTAATATAACTCAACAAGTGCTTAGTCACCAAAAGTCAATTACTAAGCCTACCTGGCCTCACTTGCCTCCACAGTACCTCAGACTTTCTGGATTTTTTCTATTGCTCTTATTATCAGTACTAACATTATTAATAATGTTATTATTATTATTTCTATCATTAATATTAGTATTGTTATAACATTAATGTTGACAATAAAAGTAAGAGAAATAAATACTTTTTTCACCAGAAGTTTAGGAATGAGTAAACGTGAATGAAATAGAAAAAAAGCATAGTAATGAGGGAGCAGGAAGTAATTCAGTATCTCTTTTTCTTATACAACAGCTTATAAATATCTACTGTACAAGGTGAACAGATAATTGAATTTTTGCGTGTCTTTAAAATGATTTTTCTCCCTCCAACCCCAGAATGACGGAGGACAAGGAAAATGTTCTCCAACCCCAAAGGAAGAACTCAGGAAAGGGAGCCAGGGCCCGGCGCCGTGGGAGTGTTCCGGCAGGAGCAGGCGGAGCCAAAGAAGGGGAGGGGGAGACAGGTGTGTTTGGCATGCATTATGTGTTATGCTGTGTGTGGCTTTCACACATTTTATGCTTTCTTTTTTCTAAGTTATTATTCTGATGTGTGATATATTATTTGCTTATTGAAGATTAGTTGCATGATCAGAAGACTTTTTCCAGTTTTACATTTTATGTATTTTAGGAAAAAGGTTGTGTAAAGTAGGGCTAGTTTGTCTGTATACCATCTTACTGTGCAGAAGATAACTCATATATCCCAAATTTTTAGGAAAACCTCGCCGTTTGGCAGGGATTAGACCAAGAATCTCCATCGAAGAACTGAGAAATGCATATAAACGGCAAGCTTCCACACCTCAGGAGGAAATATTACCAATGTTCGATCCCATGGCCAAGGTGAGTCACTACACTTCATTCTGCATGTTAATTTTGAGGAAGATGTTTTTGGAGATGAGGGCTTTTGTCTGTTATTTAGAGCTCCTCCTTTGCTACTTAGCTGCTCTTCCATTTCTTTTTGTTTATTATCAGTTGATCTTTTACTTCTTTTTTGGTTATTAATGTGTCTCTCTCTCTCTCTCTCTCTCTCTCTCTCTCTCTCTCTCTCTCTCTCTCTCTCTCTCTCTCTCTCTCTCTCTCTCTCATTTGCATTATTTAAATTCACTCTCTTCTGTGTTAGATTCACATCCTGTTATACAGAAATATATCAGCCATAGAAGAGATACCATTAGCGTAAGCCCTTTTCCCTGGAAATGCATCACAGGCCCAGGAGAGCAAAGGAGTCACCCGTGGGAGGACTGGTCTGGTCTACGATGAACGTATGGCCGAGCACCGATGTCTGTGGGATGCCAACTATCCTGAATGTCCTGAGAGACTGACACACACCCTGGAAAGGTAAGGATCAAAAATCCCTGTGAGTGTTTCTAGAATCAAGTGTATGATTCTTGAGTTATCTAGAATACCCATAACATGTTTCAAATTTGAACATATGACTGTTGAGAGGCATACTTTGGAAAGGTGAGGGTCTAAGACAACCATGCATCGCTAAAGCGTAAAGTGTGTGAATGTGTGTGGCTTATGCTTACTCTGGAAAGGTGAATGTTTAAAATACCTGTATGATGATTGACACTGAGGTTTATGATCATTAGTAAAACTAGCATTTGATGTTCAGAAACATTACATACATTTTTAGAGCCTCCTTTACTTGTTTTAAGGGTGGGGGAAGTGTTCAGTAGTTTTACAGTATTGGTGTTCACATTAAATGTTGCTGTTGTTGTTGTTTTACTGCAGTATGTATGTATATGTTATTAATCAGCACAGCAGTTAAAAGCTGAACCCATTGGTACTAGGTGCATGAATGATCCACTATGGATTTGCCTTATTGATTTTGTTTACATATATGGCTTCCTGAGTGCTTAGTCACCAAGCAGTATGTTACAAGGCCTACCTGATCTCACCTGCTTATCCCATTCCTAGAATTCTGTGGAGGGGGGTAGAAATTATTTGTTTCTATTATGACTTAATTTTATTAATAGTAGTATCACTGTTACTTTTGTAATGATACTAAAAATAATAATAGTAATGAAAAAAAAAAATCTCCACTAAAATTAAGGAAGAGAGTTAATATGTGAGGTTATGTAGCCCTGGTAATAGACTCCTTGTTGACTGAGCCTCTTGGAACCAACTGTTTATAACCAAATTTAATAAAACAAAATCTCACTTTCAGGGTCTATTAGTTAAATGCAATGTGCACATATAAATAGTAGTGCAAAGAGCTTCAGCTGCTCCTTTAAGAAGAAAAAATTGATATCAACTGAATCATAAATTTATTTCCTTTATTGAAGATGTCGGCAGCTGGGGTTGATCGAGCGTTGTGAACCTATATTGCCAAGAAATGCAACTGAAGACGAGATCCTGAAAAGTCATTCTCGGTCACATCTCTACCTCTTGTGGAGTACGAAGGATGAGAAGAACAAGGAAAAACTGGAAAACATCTCTTCGCACTTTGACTCGATATATATTCATCCAGTAAGAATTTTACTTCTCATTATAAACAGCAAAGTTTAGATGTATTTTTCTTCTTTATTATTATTACTTGTCATACTTTTTCTTTTTTGTTTGTTTTAATTATTGCTTTTCTTTTATCAACATCCCCCCCCCTCTCTCTCTCATTCTCTCTCTCTCTCTCTCTCTCTCTCTCTCTCTCTCTCTCTCTCTCTCTCTCTCTCTCTCTCTCTCTCTCTCTCTCTCTCTCTCTCATTCTCTCTCTCTCTCACTCTCTCTCTCTCTCTCTCTCTCTCTCTCTCTCTCTCTCTCTCTCTCTCTCTCTCTCTCTCTCTCTCTCTCTCTCTCTCTCTCTCTCTCTCTCTCTCTCTCTCTCTCTCTCTCTCTCTCTCTCTCTCATATTCGTATATTTTATATTATTTGATTTTATTCTTAGGTAATATAAAAGTATTGATAAGGGAAAGAGGATGCTGTCTTGTGTCAGTTATGCCTTTTCATGAGAGCTCCATTTAAGATTAATTATGTTATGTACGAAACATATAACTTTTAAAACTGTTTTCAGGAAACCTATGATCTTGCACTCTTGGCAGCTGGGAGCACCATAGATGTAGTAGATGCAATAATGGCTGGAAAGATTCAGAATGGAATGGCTCTTATTAGGTGAGGATCTTTACACAGAATACTTCTTTTGTGTATATGTATGTTTATATGTGTACACTTGAGAAAAATGCAGACTGTTTAATGAATGATAAATATCATACATATGTGCAATATTTTTCAAAGTATACGCTCAAGCAATGAAGACTTTTTAACTTGAGATCATGTTGACAGACCTCCAGGGCATCATGCAATGAAGACAGAGTTTTGTGGATATTGTTTCTTCAACAACGTGGCCCTGGCAGCTCAGGTGGCCTTGGAGAAACACAAGCTGTCTCGTATTCTAATTGTGGATTGGGACGTTCACCATGGCCAGGGTACTCAGCAGATGTTCTATGAGGATCCAAGGTTAGGGATATGTGTATGTTTAATATAGCATATGTTTATTTAGAATGGGTATGTCATGTATGATGAATATTTTACTTGGGAGGTTATTTTGTAAATACCTCAAGGACTTAATATAAAGTAGTTATGCTGCCTGCTCTTATTCAAGTCTTTTAGCAGCAGCAGTAGTAGTACTCTATGTAATATGCTAAGGCTCTTAACATGATGAAAAGGATGTTATTTGCCCAAGAAAAATAATAGGAACTTCTGATTAGCTGACTAAATGATTGACACAGACTTTGAAGCCAAATTGAAGGGAAATGTTCAGAGAGTATGAGAGTACAGTTCCATAGAAATGTGGAATGAGGGCCATTGTAAACCTCACATTATTTCCAATGAAAGTCCTAATGGTTGATTATATGATTTTGTTAGGCCATTAGAAATAATGCTATACAATTCAAAAACTAATACTTTGCGGTTTCTCCCAATCCAGGGTCTTATACTTCTCCATCCATCGTTATGAAAATGGAACCTTCTGGCCAGAGCTTCGGGAAAGTGACTACGACAATGTTGGAGCTGGGCGAGGTCGGGGTTTCAACTTCAATGTACCTCTAAACAAGACTCAGATGAAAAATGAGGATTATTTAGCAGTGTTTCATCAAGTTCTCCTTCCTGTGGCATATGAGGTGAGTTTTGCTTTTATTTTGTGATTTTTTTTTTTAAGGAGTTAAGGCCATTAAGTAGATACAGGGACTGTTTCATTTCTTACTGACTCAGCATCTCTTGATGAGCCATTTTCATGCTGTTAGTGAAACCTGACCTTATCCGCCATCTGCACAATCTTAGGTAACCTGCTAGTATACCACAACATGGATAACAAAATAATATAAATGGGAAAGTTTATATATAACATACTAGCAAAATTTTAGAAAAGGTTATTGTAAGATTGAATATATGATAAAACTGTATACTGCTAATGGAAGTTTTTTGTGGACATGGCAGAAAGAACTATCAAAACAAAACTATGTATTCCCAGTGGCAATCATGCACACATACTAATTGCAACCTATTTCAAAACATGCTCATCTGTAGCTATATTTGGTCACATTCATCTAGTCTCAGAAGGTTTGAGGAAAGAGAGCAGCAGATTTGATGACATAATTATAGAAACATCAGTTCTTAACTTTTTATTTTATCTGTTGCTTTCTTCAGAGATAATGTAATTTTAACTTGGAAAACTAAAAAGAGAGGCAGGAAATAAAAAAGCATCAAGCAATTTAAATGCATTACATTAGAATTAATCACAAGTTCAAATGAAGAGGTAATTTCCAGACAGCATGAAGAGTGAGAAGCCAGGTACGGACAGAAGTGTTCTATAGAAAAATTGTTTCACTTTTTATTTTTATGATATTAACCCATCACCGCTAAGTAACAGTAATCCCAAATTCAGACAACAAAGATAAGTTGTAGAAAATTTATTAGATATTTGAAAGTAAATCTTAGTGTACTTGTATATGATTATTACTAGATATATTTTGTATTTTTTGTCTTAGAGAATTATTTATATATATTTTACTCTCTTACCCATTGAATGCATTCAGAGAAAAATAATTTCTTTACATATTTTCATTCCACCTTTCTTTATCATACTAAATGGATACTCCAGGTGATGGCAGTTGTGGATTAATTGATATTAAAACTTCAATTTGTATTTCCAGTTCAATCCAGAGTTGGTCATAGTGTCAGCAGGATATGATGCAGCTGTTGGATGTCCAGAGGTTAGAAATCAGAATGCCCCTTGTATCATGCCTTGTCATTACCAGCATCATTGCATGAGTATTCCTATATTTATTTTCTGCATTGGCAAGAAGAAGCTTTTTTCTCTCTCTCTCTCTCTTGCTTTCTGATATTTTCTTAGTACTAGTAGTAGTAGTAGTAGTAGTAGTATTTTTATTATTGATATTCAGATGATGGTTCATCCTTATCTACCCTGATCTGTCTCAATCTCAAAACTTCATTATATCTTACACTACCTTTAGTATTGTAGATCCACTTGCTATACTTATTTATAAACTCAGAGAGACCCTGCCAATACAGCTTCAGATGTTACAGGACAGTTTAGTTAGATTTAGAACCTCTGTAGTTCTCTGAGTCTAACAGTCCCAGTATAATAGAATCTAGTATGAACTGTATTGAACTTTGCTTTACTTTACCCCTTCCTGACGGGTCACACCCTGAGGTGTCATAACAAACCGCTCGATCTGTGGAGTATGGCTGTACGCCGTGGCAACACACCAAAGCACTATGAGCTGAGAATTCGGCTTGATGTACCAAACTCGCACACTCAAAGTTGGCGCGTTGCAATTGATCTCCAGAATGTAGATTTATTTTTTTAATTTTCACCAGTCATTAAGGGGTTAATCTGACCTGAAATTAATGTGCCATTAGGTAGAGCCAAGCTGTATTATCTTATTCTAAAGTCACCTGATCTGCTCTGACTTGCTACTGTAATGTATTTACTTTGTTCCTTTACCCAATGGCACCGGCTGTACAAAACAAAAAACAAAAAAACTCTACGCTCTAGCAAACAAAGGTGGCGCGCTGACTTTGAGCGTGTGAGTAGGGGACGTCAGCCCAAATCACTGGCTCACTGCGCTTTGGCGCGCCGCCGCGGCGTACAGCCGCACGCCAGCTTTCAAGTGGTTTGTTTTTACACCGATCGGCATCACCCGGTGTTAAGGGGTTAAGCATATGGTCTCACATAGTAAAATAAACCATAGAATTGTGGTGTTCCTCATGCATACAGTTGTGGTACTGGCAAGGCCTGATCACCCAGGGAGCATTACCAAAAGTCTGTACATTGTTGTTATTCTTATGTTTTCTCTTTTATTTTGTCTTCCTTCCTTATAGTTTGATCCTGAGTTGGTTCTTGTTTCCTCTGGTTATGATGCTGCAGTAGGTGATGAGAAGGCAAGTCTTCCCTATAGCCATGTAGTTATTGTAACCAGGTATTTTTATTTTATATGTAATTTTTTTTTCCTGTCTTTTCTTTCTTTTTTTGCTGTTTTTTTAGTTTGCCATGTTGATTTTTATGAAAGTGAACATGATAACACCAGCACAATATTTTGATCCTTTGATTTCTGAGTCTTTAGTGATGAGAAGTATTTCCTTTGCTTTCCTTTTTTCTGATCTAAAATTACCTTACAGTTAAACTTTTGAAATATAAAAGTAGGAAAAGAAAAATTATTACATTTGATGGGTCTCTGCTGTATTAGTTGCTTAGATACAAAAGAATTTTAGTGTTACTTTAGTCTGTAGTTTATGAATGAAATATAACTGTAAATACTTATTCATACGTGCTTTCTGTAAGTTCTGCTCTAACTATTTTGTAATACTACAGGGAGAAATGGAGATCACCCCTGCCTTTTACGCTCACCTCACCTCTAGTCTCATGGCACTGGCAAATGGACGTGTAGCTGTTATCTTTGAGGTGAGAGCAGAGCATTGTTATTGTCTCTGAAATTTAATGGATCTCCTTTTTTTTTCTGTTTCATTGTTTGTCTCTGTTTTTATTCCTTTTTGTAAATCTTAGGTTTTATTTAAACAAGAGATCATAAGATATTAAGTGAAATATATTTGTATCAAATATTCAGTCATACAGTTTATTTAATATATATTAATATTGCACAGGGTGGCTACTGTCTTGAGTCGCTAGCAGAAGGAGCTGCTCTGACACTTAGTGCCCTTCTGGGAGACCCCTGCCCAAAGCTTCTGGATCCCATTTTGAAACCCTCACTAAGGTAGTTTCATATGTATTATGTGGTACATTTTCCCAGAACTTTGTAGGAAATGATAGGACTGAATTTTTAAAAAATCATTAGAGTAGGGAAATGTGTGGTGATTCTTTTAAACAAGACAGAAATCTTGCAGTGTATTGAAGGTGTTTATTAAAAGATATAGCAGCAGTGAAAAAAAGATTCATTCTTCATCAAATACTAATGAGAGCCATTGTCCCACCAGCATGTGCGAGTCCCTGCTCAACCTTATCTATGTCCAGAGGCCATACTGGAAATGCTTCCAGTACCAAGGGTCCTTCTCTGTCCACGAGAAGACTAATGGGGACACGGGAGAGCGCCACATCCCCACCCTCTCCTACCTCGGCAATGCAACAAAGCCCCTTCAGTACGAAACCAGGAACTGCTATCCAGTCCAGTCTGAGGAGGTCAAGGAAAAGATCAGACTCCAGTTGGCCAGGCTGAAGCAAGGTCTGTGGTCTTACTATTTAGATTTTACTTTCTGATATTGTTCCTTAGGTTGTTATAATGAGTTGATGCAGTGAAGAGTTGTTAGACTTTAAGTTTTTCTTCTTGAGCATTTTCCAAAAAGGAAGTAGTTATCTCTTACTTTTGATAAGATGTTATTTTAGTTTTTTGATTGTTTTGAAGTATAGCTTATATTGGTTGTAGAGATCATATCAGTTATTAAATATTTTCCTTCTTTGTATCAGACAAACCTCCTCAGATGTTTGAGAATAATAGACTCTGCTTGGTGTATGACGAGGCCATGAGTAATCACCATAGTTTGTCAGAAAAGTAAGTAGTCAAGTTCAAGCTAGTAATAACATTTCTTTTTCACCTGTTAATTTATGGATACACATATTATGGTCACATTTTCAATTTTCCAAAGTATTCATTGTTTTATGGAGATAATTAGATATACAATATTTACTACTGGTTTTATAAGCTTGTAAAAAAGTTCTCAAAATTGGTATGATAGATGTGTTTTTCCCTATGCCAGAGATTTAAAAAATCATGCCTTAGTACATAAAGCTTAACCTCTGCTCACCTTGACATTCTACAGAGAGCATCCAGAAAGACCAGAAAGAACAGAGAGAATATGGAAATCTCTGAAACAATTTGGCATCATAGAAAGAGCAACTATCTTGCAGGTATGTGGAGTCAGAAATCACTTTCTGTAGCATGAGAATAAAGTCCTGAAGATACTTGTTTCATTATTAACCCCTTCACGACGGGTGACGCCGCTAGGCATGAAAACAAACCGCTCAAAAAATTGGCGTGCGGCTGTTCACAGCGGTGGCAAGCCAGTGATTCTGCCTGATGTACCAAACTCACGCACTCAAAGTCGGCACGCTGCCATGATTCGCCAGAGTGTAGAGTTTTTTTCTTCTTCTTCTTCTTCTTCATTGGATTAATATCATTAGAGTTAAGAAATGCTATTGTAATAGTACTGAAGAACTGAATCATCATGGTTTTATTATTTTAGATGTATTTTTCATGACATTCACAAGAATTTTTTGTTTGAAAAAATAACCAAATAGAAAGTAAGTATATGATTACTTCAAGTGAAAGTATCATGATCAGCATAAAGCATTCTGTTTTTTACAAATGTAAGTCATTATGGTTTTCTAACCAATAATCATGTATGAAAATAAAATTGGATAATTACCATTGCAGTCAAGATATGCTACACAGCAAGAGCTAGAGCTGATTCACACACACGAGCATGTAAACCTAATGGCAAGTACAAGTGCACTAAGTGAAAAGGAGCTCTTGAATATGCAGGATAACTACAAGTCGATATACCTTCATCCCAAGAGCAATGAAGCTGCTCTTCTGGCTGCTGGGAGCCTCTTGCAGGTGAGTGGCATGAAAATGTCTGAGATAGAAGGATACAGTATATCATTTATAAAACTAAGTAATATTTAAGTTCAGTGATTAAAAGAGTAAATAAATATTATACTTCACTCGAGGTGTAATGATCTGTTACAGATAAAGCATAACTAAATTCTGTAATAGATGGGAATCATGAGAAAGCTTAGGTGATGGATGTGATGAACAGTAATCCTTACTCTGTTTATGCCTCATGGTTTCAGGTTATAGATGATGTATGTAATAACAAAAGCTTAAGTGGAATAGGAGTAATTCGTCCTCCTGGCCACCATGCAGAGCAGGATCATCCACATGGCTTCTGTTTGTACAACAATGTGGCCATTGCTGCTAAGTATGCCATTACCCACCATGGTTGTGAAAGGTAGGCTTTATATGTATGTTTATGAATTATAAGTAATCTGTTTGTAAATGCTTTGCTTGAATTGGACTGAACACTTAGGAATATGAAGTAATTCAGTTCATTAAGTAATTCTTTGCTTATGACATCAGAGTGCTGATCCTTGACTGGGATGTTCACCATGGTAATGGTGTCCAGCATGCATTTGAGGCTGACCCAAAGGTCCTCTACATTTCCATCCACCGCTACGACCATGGCCTCTTCTTCCCTTCTTCTGAAGATGCCAATTATGACCAGGTTGGCTCCGGAGAGGGCGAGGGCTACACAGTCAATATTCCATGGAATAAGGTGTGTTTTTGTATTTCTTGCTTACGTTCACTACTTTTTTGAAACCACACTGTACCTTGACTAACATCACTATTTCAGTGACCATTCTACCAGAAAAAAAGTATGGTGTATCACTATACATACAATTATCCCCTTCTTTACCAAAAGCGTGTTTTGGTGTTTTTGCATACTTAAGAGAGAGGAATCCCTTTATTATATAATATGATATCATTATATTACATATTGAAAATCACATGCTGTGCAATGTCTTTCATCTATGATTTTGTGACTAAACCAATCTTATCAATGGTTATTATTTTTATTAGTGATGAATGACTAGCTGTAATTCAAATACTCACGCCAGTCTCCCTGTCCCTTGTGATGTAGGTAGATTCCTTGATTTTATTCCTTCTCATCATGTCAGATTTTGTTATTGAAGAGAAGTTTGCAGATTATGACAGTGGTATAGACAACTCTGGTGATAACTTAGAGCTAAATGATATGGTGATGAATTCTAGTGAGGATGAATTTGATCCCAAAAAGGACAGGAGGTACGAAGAGAGTGAAGACAAGTCTGTCAACAGTCTGTTGTGCTCTCTGTATATTATGGCAACTCCCCTATCCCCTATGCCACCGTAAACTTCACATTGTTTTTTGTTTGTTTTTTTACTAGTGCTAGGCCAACAGTTCTCCACACACTAAAAGAGGATTTCATTTATATGGATGCATTGGCTATTGTTATGATATTGATTTCATGTAATGTATGAGTACCTACAAATGTATATATTTCTATCAGTATATAAAACATCACATGAAGTTTCTGTAATTAGCAATTAAAAAAAAAAAAAAAAATATTCACAGTGCACATGAGTGACAGATATGGTTGGTGTGGCAGAGCAGTGGTTTGTTTACATAAGCATGAATGGTCTGTAAAGATGTTCATAAGATTTTTAGTAAATGCTAGAAGGAAACAGAATTACAAATTATGGATTTACAATATTATTGTGCCTTTTTCTTTTCCTTTGATTATTTTGACTTTACTTCTCTGTTTAATATTTTCTCATGTTTTATTGACAAACATTTTTCTTTTTCTTATTTTTCACCCCCTTTTCCTTTCCTTTCTTCTTCTTCCCTTTCCTCTCTTATTCTTATTCCCATTCTCATTCTTATTCTTCCTCACCTCCTCCTCTTCTTCCTCTTCTCCTCCTCCTCTTCTTCCTCTTCTCCTCCTCCTCCTCTTCTTCCTCTTCTCCTCCTCCTCCTCTTCTTCCTCTTCTCCTCCTCCTCCTCTTCTTCCTCTTCTCCTCCTCCTCCTCCCCTTCCTCTTCCTCCTCCTCCCCTTCCTCCTCCTCCCCCTCCTTCTCCTCCTCCTCCTCCTCATCATCATCATCATCATCATCATCATCATCATCTTCCTCTTCTCCTCCTCCTCCTCCTCCTCCTCCTCCTCCTCCTCCTCTTCTTCCTCTTCTCCTCCTCCTCCTCCTCCTCTTCTTCCTCTTCTCCTCCTCCTCCTCTTCTTCCTCTTCTCCTCCTCCTCCTCCTCTTCTTCCTCTTCTCCTCCTCCTCCTCCTCTTCTTCCTCTTCTCCTCCTCCTCTTCTTCCTCTTCTCCTCCTCCTCCTCCTCTTCTTCCTCTTCTCCTCCTCCTCCTCCTCCTCTTCTTCCTCTTCTCCTCCTCCTCTTCTTCCTCTTCTCCTCCTCCTCTTCTTCCTCTTCTCCTCCTCCTCTTCTTCCTCTTCTCCTCCTCCTCTTCTTCCTCTTCTCCTCCTCCTCTTCTTCCTCTTCTCCTCCTCCTCTTCTTCCTCTTCTCCTCCTCCTCCTCTTCTTCCTCTTCTCCTCCTCCTCTTCTTCCTCTTCTCTCTCTCTCTTTTTTCTGTATAGATTATCTTGTTTCACATCTTTTAGATCCACTTATAATTCATACCACCCTTATATTTTATCTTCTGATATTTACATGATGTAATGTTCTTTCTGCCATTACCACAGCCACTCGCTACCGTACCCCCAATGTTTGCATTGGTAATCTTAGTGTTGTACTTCCTTAAATAGTTATGAATTATTAGACATAGTCTGCTGTAGCCTTGATTTGTCTGAGAAAAGGAGTATATGGTAATATCTACTCACAATATGAATCATATGGTTTACAATTTTCCTGTATTTGCTCTCTTTGTATGTTTGTTTATCTCAAGATTTCTTTAGTATATGTACCTATTGACATATCTTCTCTGTTTAGAATTTTAGTCTGGAAATTTGTAGTAAAAAAAGCAACATACAACAAAGTTATACATTGTTAAGAACTGTATTCCCATTAATGAAAATCAGTTTAGAAGCGTATGTGGTCAATTTAACAAATGAAAGTTAATATTTATTTTCTGTCTATCCATTACCTGTTATGCAATTTTTTCCCCACACCTGTATTCACTATGTTCTCATATGTGTTATTCAGTTAGCGCGCTTTCTTTCTCTCTCTCTCTCTCTCTCTCTCTCTCTCTCTCTCTCTCTCTCTCTCTCTCTCTCTCTCTCTCTCTCTCTCTCTCTCTCTCTCTCTCTCTCTCTCCCTCTCCCTCTCCCTCCCTCCCTCCCTCCCTCCCTCCCTCTCTCCCTCTCTCTTTAGTACCCATGAATGACTTGTTGTTACCTCTATTGAATTAATTAATTTTTTCTTTTTTGTTTTCTTTTTCTTTTTCTTTTTTCTTTTTTTTAGTTTCAGTTTCTTATACCAGGTAAAGCTAAAACAAGGATTTAATTATTCAATCTTGTATATATTGCACTGAAAGGATGCCCTGTGTATTCTGTATTTTTGGATGCAATATAAAGATGAATATTTCATGGTTCACACATTCTCAAGAATCCCAGTCAATTTTTGGGGAAAAAATATTTACATCCTCAAAGTAACTCACCTCAAACTTAAAATATAGAGAGTTCAGTATTGTCAAACATAACGTCTGATACTCGCTGTTTAAATAGAAAATGCTTGTGTTATGGTTGAATCCTTTCCATTCACAGTACTAAAATCCTCATTTGCATAATTTCCATCTAGGTTTGAATTTTCCTATTTTGGATGATCAATGATTGTTTACTACTGAAGAATGTTAGTTTTGTATTTCATATCTCAAAATGAACTTTACATTACAGAGTGGTATGGGAGACGCAGAGTACATGTCAGCAATGCTACAGGTGGTAATGCCGATAGCATACCAGTATGACCCACAGTTAGTGCTTGTGTCAGCTGGGTTCGATGCAGCTCGTGGTGACCCTCTTGGAGGTGAGGAACTCCACTTCCTCGCACTTTGTTTTTCATCCTTTGAATTACTTCCACTTTTTTTCTTGCTTTTTTTCAGTTTTCTTAGCTCTTTTCAATATTTACTTATATTTTATATGTTTTTAGAGAATTTAATTTACCTTCCTGGTTTAACTTTTAATTGCCGACGGGCATGCCATGCCATGCCCACTGTGAGTTTACTTGTTTAATTGTTTTTACGCAGAGATAGCTACACTTGTACTAAGTCACCAATGAGCCAATTACGAGTACTGCCTGTCTCGCCCGTTCGCCCTTTTCTTTAATTTACAAAAATATTTTTTAAGTTATCTTATTTTGCTATTACTAATGTTTATGACATTATAGTAATTATAATGTTTATAATAAAAATAACACCATCGATATTCATTGTACTAGTAAAAAATACATTTTACTGCCAATTCAAGGAAAGGTGAAATCAGGTATGGCTAAGTACTAGCAGAGCCATCTATGTGTAGAGACATTTCACAAAAAAAATATATAAAAAATGAGCACATTTTCCCCATTTTTCATTCATTATCCCCAGCAGCAATGGGTTAACCCATTCGCCACATGTGGCAAGAATAGATGCCATACCCACTTTGAGACACATTTATTTATTGTATTTACACATAGATGGCTCCACAAGTTCTTAATCACCAAATAGCCAGTTATCAAGAACTACCTAATTCACCTGTTTACCCTTTTCCTTCACTTTAGGAAAAGGTTTTTTGTATCATTTCATTGTCTAAAATATTATAATGACAATTTAATAATCATAACATCAATAACAATAATAACAGTATCGATAGCAATGGTATTATTTTTCCCGCCAATTCAGTGAATGGGAGAATCAGGGTCTGTAACTAGGGCCTACTGATAGACTCCTTGCCGGCTGAGCACATGTGGAGCCATTTGTATGTAACAAAATTCATCAAAAACTACAGAGGACAGAACATAATTCCGGGGCGAATGGGTTAATAAAAGAAATCCACAGTTTTTTTCATCAGATAAATATGAAACCAGTATGGAATTAAATTAGTATTATGAAACTTGTTTTTTGCTAAGGTATTTATTATGAGGTATTAAAGTTAGGTATCCTCAAGTTATTCAATAATTGTAGCGATTTATTGGCTTATAACTAACAATATTATTTTGAATGTCATGAACAGTAGACCAGAACTGTCTACCATTATAAAATCAATTTAGTTAAAAATGACACGCAAAGCACAAAAATACATTTTCAGTATTATTTGACCTGACTACATACTGAAGTACAATTATTTTATTAATTATCCATTCATAACCCATTCACATTCCAGGTTGCCGTGTCACACCTGAATGCTATGGCCACATGACCAGGCTCTTGTCAAGCTTAGCTGGGGGCCGCATGGTCCTGGCACTAGAAGGTGGCTACAACCTAAGCAGTATTAGTTACTGCATGACTATGTGTGCCAAGGCTCTTCTCGGTGATCCTCTACCCTCGCTTGAGTCAGGACTTGTGCCCAACAAGAATGCTGTGCAATCCATATCTGATACTATTAGAACCCATAAAAAGTACTGGACAGCTCTGTCCTTCCAGGTAAGCCCTGTTTTACCTCCTGGAGAAGCACCAATGATACATTATTATGTATACTGAATTTTAACGTGTATGATTTTAATGTAATAAGCAGTATGACTGTTTGGTATATAACTGAGCATGGAAGCTATTATAATTGGATTTCTCTTTCTGTCACAACCAGGTTGATCTTCCTGTTGAGGATGTTCTGTGCCAAGGCTTTGGAGGTGGGGCCCAACCTGTGGAGTCAGGTGCTTCTGGTTCTGAAGTCTCTTCAACTAATGTGTCTCCTGTCTCCACTCCGTCCACTGCATCCCCTCCTTATGTCTCTGCTCCATCTTCTCCTGATAAGACTTGGAAGAATGGAAATTCTATGGAGAATGGAGCATCCCCACAATTGGAATGCAGCTCTGAAAGGACCAAGTTTGATTCAGATAAAATGGACATAGATGTTACACCAATCCCTCAATTGCAGAGATCTGTGAGAAGCAGAGTGAAGAGTGAAAAAGCTGCTTCAGCTTCCGTTGCAGAACAAAGGGATGTAAAAGCTGGAGGAATGCAGAAGCAGTTTGGTTCAGAGGGAAGTTCAAGGATGAGCCGGAGAAAAGTTGGGGATCAAGGTGGCTCAGGGGAGAGTGCTAACCACACATCGACACCCATCCGGCCAAGTAGACCCGTAAAAAATGTAGGCCTTATGCTCAGAGCTGCTGCATCGTGTGTTGGAATTGTGAAAGGAGCAACAGCTATTGTCTCCAATGAAAATACACTAGATTCTGGAAGCATTAATGGGATCCTGAAACAATGCAAAGAATTGAAACTTTTGCAGTCATGTACAAGATTAGAGCCAAGACCAGCATCTGAGGAGGAAATTTTGTCAGTCCACACCAGAGAAACACTGGAAGGTCATGTGCAGAGAGAGACATGTAGCAAAAGCCCCTGTTCGGGTGACCCTGCACTGACTGCAGCTGGGAGCTTTGTAGAGTTGATTAGTGAAGTGGTACAGGGAAATGTGCTCAATGGTTTAGCTCTTGTGCAGGTATCTGATCATACCAGTTCAGGTAATCAGATAATTAGCAATAACTATATTAATAATTTAGCAGTTGGAACTCAATATGCTCTAGATACTGTTGGGCTACAAAGGGTGCTCATTGTTAACTGGAATGCTCAGAATGGTTATAATACTCAAAATCTTTTTTACAGTGATCCAAGAGTCTTAATGTTTTCTGTCAATCTCACTGATGATCAGAGTGCAACCAAAGGGTCAGTTGACAGACGAGGAGAGAACAAGGGCCTTGGTTATACTTTTGATTTAAGCCTTAACAGAGATTCTCAGAGTAAGAATTTTACCCAAGGAGATTATCTCGCAATACTCCACCAGGTCATCTTACCTGTGGCCTATGAATTTTGCCCAGAGCTGGTTCTCTTAGCAATTGGTAATGACTTAGTGCA